AGATAGTTCCTGTCGAGTATGTCAAAAATGATTAACTATCAGTAAAACTACCGATTATGAATTCTTATCAATTTCAATTAAATTCGTACGTCAGTTTATTTGATACTAGACATACATTTTCTACCCAATTCTCCGGGTATAAGGAGTTCAAAAATTGTGGAATTTCTTAATAAAAATCAGCTTGTAGCTAAAAATTTTACTAAAACTCATACTTTAACTTAACCCCTATTTGTCTTCCCCTATTTGGATTTTCCGAAAAGCGTGAACATTAAGGAAAACATTTCAGATCCTACAAATTAATCAATCAGTCAACCAGTCAGCCAGCCACTTAATTTATTTAATTTAAATCTAAGAGTCCAAAATCAACATTAATAAAATGCTTTTAATACCTACTAAATAAACTATTATAATATAGTACTATATCAACTATCATAGTGTCGGTGACTATAATAAAATAATATTCTGGAGAGAAAATAATACATATTTGTTAACAAGTTATTTAAAATCATAAATAAATTTAAAACGTTCCTCAAATTATTTAAATAACAATTACTATTATTTCAATAATAGTAGTCTTGTAATGTATAAATTATACCAACATGCCAGATATTGCGTGCCCATTCAGTATTGTTTTTATACCCTTTTGGGGGTATTATAATTTTGTCATGACGCATGGCACAGGACACATATCTGACCCAATGAAATATATATTTTTGATCAGTATCAACAGCCGCGTTTATATAGACATAGGTCCGTCTTTCTGTTGCAGGCAGTACATACCTCAGAACTGCTCGGATCGGAAAACTATACCATATCGATGCCAAGGGACATCTTGATCAAACTCGGCTAGCTCACTACGCTCCTTATATTTATGCAAAAATTTTGCAACATCGGACCACATATAATTGCCATAGGAACGATCGGTCGAAAAGTAGGTTCTTATATGACGAAATATTCTATTTCCCAAATGATTTTCATTAAACTCAGCTTTTTCGAGCTGCACTATTCCTACAGTCTGCAAACGTCTACAAGGGTATAAAATCTTCGGCATGACGAAGATAACCTTATTTTCTCGCTGTATTATTCTTTATTATACGTGCGCGGTACGTCACTTCACCGTGATGTGAAACAGGAAATTGTTGAGCTCCAAATCAACCGTCATACTAGCCGATATAGCGATCGACTGAAATCACATTTGAGCAGACTGGACAAACCTCGCTCGCAAACTTGTCCCATCACCCGGCCGAAAAGACGACAACACCTTACCCTGCTTCAGAAGTAAAAACACTTATCAATTAAACTTTGTCCATATGATAAGGCGTAGCCTCTATACACACACTATACATATCGTGTTATAGCCAAAATTGATAGCTGATTCTTGACAATAAATATAAAATATACAAATAAAAAAATTATATATATAAAACATATAATACTAATAGATCCATTAGCTGACTTAAGCTGCGTTTTTTTGAATGGAATATTATTCAATATACATAGGTAGCCGCAAAAATTATTAAGCAAGTGTATTTGCAAGTCGAGATAGATGCAAAATACGACTTTGTGCTATACCTTGAATCTCGCATTCCGTTAAGATAAGCTTCTTGATAAGCCAACCCATGTTATTAACTAATGCCTGGCATAAAACCACTCAGTATAGGCAAAGTCAGTTCAGTTGCAAACATAAAGAGCCCAAGAGAGGTTCACAAGTCTACAGAATGTATATGAAAACGTTGATTATAAGTGTAGTGATTGCTCTCACCTGTGTGCAGTTGGGTGAGTAAATTGATTCATGAAGATATGTTTCTGGGACTAACTAATGGAAGCTATCCAATAAAGCCAACTCCTTGACGTGTTACACCTGCACTAACGCAGCTGATTGCAAAAAGCCAAGGAAAACCACTTGCTCCAATGCTGCTGCCAATGAGACGAGCGACTTTTTAGAAGTTTATCATCAGGGTGTGCGCAAGCTAAGTAGCTACAGATTCGATTGTCTAGCTCTTAAGTATACCTATGCGAATAGTGAGTATATGTGAATGCCAGAGTTTATGCAGCAGAATTTCTATTTCATATTGTATTTATCAATGCAGATAACTCAGTGGTTCATCAGCTACATGGATGTGTTCATCCAGATGTGAGCGCCTGTACTTTGGCTCTTAAGCCACAATATACCTATAGCTGGCATAAGAATATGTGCTCCATCTGCTCTGGCAACAAGTGCAACAAGAATCCAGCTGGCAAGCTGAGCAGCAGTGTCTACACAATTGCGGCCACAGTGATGTCTCTAATGCTGGCCAAGATCTATGCTTAAAATTGTGGATATAATTAGCAGTACATAGTCTAATATACTATAGCCTATTACTCCATTTATCAATATTGTATAGAAATTGCCTGACCATCTCACAACTGGCTTATCAAGTGTTCAATATTTTAGTCGACTGTTCGATAAGATTATGCGGCTGCGGACCCAAAAGAATCGAAATCGAATAAAACTCTCTTCGGTTAATTGATTTCACAATAGTGAGTAAGCTGGTTATCAATATTTTGATTAGGGGGTTCCTTTTAAATGCTTTGCAATTTAATAGCTACCTCTAAGAGATAAAGAAAATTTATTGCTTAACAGTAGCAAATAAAAAAAGTAGCAGTAGCAAAAAAAAAGTAAATTAATATTCAATTAAGTTGAAAACACGGGTTAAACGACATTAAATCAAGTATATTTGAATAAAACTAATTATGTACATATTAAATATTTTATGAGAAATTGCTCTATTACAATTATTCATGTCGAAGAGACTCAAGTAGATTTAATAATCGAACTTTCATTTTTTTGATCCGCTTGATACTTATTGCTAAAAACATACAAATTATGCATATCAAAACAATTTGTAGAATTTAACTCCCTTACTCACTTAAGCATTCAAGCAAACAAACTCCTTGAAGCACAATCAATAGAAACAGAATAAATCGCTTAAGCATGTTGTGCATCTGAGATTTCAGCTACAACTAATTGAAGTCTGGGGATAATCTACTTTTATATAGTTTGCCACTTTGTGCTTTGTCTATTTATTCAAATGTCTATGTAATAGAGCTGGTTGAATAGAAGATAGCATTTCATAAATATAACAGAACAGAACTTCTGGGAAATATGTTGGAAATGTTTACACTGCAATTGCAGGCTTATCACTGTTAAATATGTTTATTTTTATGCCCTGAACCCATTGACAATGGCTAAAGAGGGTATAATAGTTTTGTGGAAGCGTATGTAGCAGGCAAATGGAAGCATCTCCGATCCCATAAAACATATATATTCTTGATCAGCATCAATCACCGAGTCAATATAGCCATATCTGTCTGCCTGTCCGGTCATTTGTCCGCATATATAAACGCGTCGATCGCAGCACCTATAGGGCTAGAGACATGACATTATGAACGCAGGTCGATAACTTGCCCCGTTTTCAAGAAATCGATCAAAATCGTTAACGGTATCCGGGTTATTGAGCAAATCTCTTATGCCTTTGCTCATTAAATAGGTAACATAAATTAGAAAGCTCGGGCAAGCGAGTGCATAGCATGAGCTGCATTTGGCGTCGGTAATAGATCGTTCAACGTATCCCCTAGCCGAGCTTTCTCGACTAGGAGTATTGTTACCATTGAGACTAGGGAAGTATTGGATTTCAGTAAATAAAGAAACTACTACTCTAGTCGGGAGCTCCCGACCGATACCCTGATACCCACAAAGCCAATATAGCCTTTCTACCGAATTTCAATGGGTTCAGAGTATAGTGTATCTTCTAGAGCTTACAATCGCAGATTTAAGATCAGAAAATTACCGATATATTTTAAGATAATTCAAAATACGGGCACTTCCAGCTGATTAACCAATTGTGTTCTCACCCATTTATTTCAATGCTTTACAAGAATCATGAAAGTGTATTTTATAATAACAACAATTTATTGTTGTGCAGGGCCATAGCTGAACCCATTATGGGAAAGATTATCCTGCAAAAAAATTATATTCTTTCATTTCTTCCTAATCGTAATTGTGGCAACTCTCGGCCCAACTACTGCGGTTCTTTGCGTTCAGGTACAGACTACACAAGGATTCTGGCATGAAGCAGCACACAAATTCTGAAGTTTTGCTGAAGTTTAAAACCCGAATTATTTTATCATCCAAAAAACACAGTAAAGTAATATGGAAGAATCATGCACTTTTAAGTCTCCTTAACGATCGCACATCTAAACGGCGATCAACCAGAGGCTGCTGGATTTTGTAGCCAGATCAGACTGTTTAACTGGTTTAACGTGATTCATTTAATTTTCAATTCAACGTGAAATGTGTTCTTATCAAAACTATAAGTCCATATAAGCCGTAATCATTAGACAATAAATGAGCTTCATCCGCATTTGAATAGCAATTTTTAACTAATCGATCTTGATACCACCAGAACTTTTTTAACAATTATACAAACTATATATTGGAGATAGGCTTAATTTATACGGCCAATAAAAAGAACGCTATCAGTACTTTGCAGTGGGTTGACTAATCAAAGATAAAAAGGGCTGGACATTCTAGCGGAATATTGAACACACTACCAAATGAAGTTGAGCTAAATGAATGAAACAAAAGATATTAAACTGATTTTACTCGAAGCCCTTTAGACAAACGAAATAATTTACAAAAAAGAAAATTATAAGGGCTTTACCCATCATGAGTAAAAGTAATCAAATAAGAAAAATACTTAAAGTTATCTAATAATGGTAAATACTCAATTATAATAATAATAATAAATCATAATACAAAACTAATCTCTGATAAGAACAATTATTAAGCAGAAAGAACTTCAGAATCTTGTGCTTTTGATACAACCTTCAATAAATATCGAAAGATGTTTCTATTAAATGTGTACACCAATTTCTACATCCAATCTTTAGCTCTTTTCAAAGTGAGTTTTGCAGATAAATATAAAGCCGGAAAATTAATTGAATTGACAATGAGCATATGTATTTGAATATGTCGACTGTTTGGCCTTTATTTATTTACACAATATTATGTTCTTCTCCTAAGGAGATAGGTCAAGTAGACTGCTCTCTACCCCGTTCCTTCTTGATCAAACAGTTATTTGAAAATCACAATATTATATTAAAAATATTATGGGTTCCATTACTAAATATATGCATTGTGAAATTTCTACAGCTTCTCTACGGCCAATTTGGCCAGAATCAGAGTAATAGCTGAAGCCATAATGGTATAGGTGCTTTTGCTAAAAGTGGCCGCCGGATTGCGATTGCATCTGTCCCAATCACAGTAGCTGCAGCCCTTGCTCCAGGTACTGCCCTGAGTTGCATTTAAGGTCAGAGCACACACCGGAACTGCGGGATGATAGCAGCCCAGATATTCATGAGTCTTGCTTAAGTCTGTAAATCAAATAAGAAGTAGAAGCAGCCCAAAAGACACCTTTGCAAGTTATAACATACTTGATTGAAAGTAATATGTGAGGTTCATGCACTTGAAGCTATTGCTCCCATTTACGGTGGGCACATTACTGTGGATGGTGTTCAACCAGCGGCTGGTGGCGTCGGCTGTAGTATTGCTGCAGACTTGGGTGCTGGGATTGCGACAGTCGTCGGGTGAGACGCAGCTGTAGCAGGTCAGGCTGTTAACTGATGGGTTTTATGTGATTAGTGAATTCCGTGATTCGAGCACAGATCATGTTTAACTCTCACCAAACTGCAGGCTTGCAAAGGCTGCTAGCACTAGACCAAAAATCAGCTTCTTCCACATTATGTTTAACACTACTTGCAGCTTATTGAGGCACTAACCAACTAAGCAGTTCGAACTATTATCAGGTGTATTTTGTAGGTACTTTACCCACATAAATGTGGCACATTTAACAACATAATAAAGATAAGATGTTTTATTTGCTTAATCGATTAGCCAAGTCAAATAAAAAAGTGTCACAACATCCCCAGCTATAAAATACTCTACATGGGTACGTTAAAACAAGCAACTAATATGAGATATTTATAAAGAGTCAATAATATTCAGCTATTAATTAGTAGTTAAGAACTTTCAGAGTTTCCAATTATACAATGTTATAAAAATGTAAATTCAAATTCATTGTGAGTAAAATTGATTTCAAACACATTGAGATATCTTGAATTGCAAGGGTAAATATCCTTTCTATTATATAAAGTAATAGATATAGTTGTAGGCTGGTAAAACAAAAGTATAAAAATAAGCATGTCGCAAATATAAAAAAAATATATATAACCGATAAATTATTTTTAGCATCCATCAACACACCAGAAAAGTATATGTTAACGAATTTATAACGAATACTAGAATATATAAAAAAAATTTGAATTATTTTAAAGTTCATATGAGGAGGCAAAAGAAAACTACAGAGTTTAAATCAAATATCTTGTAGCTTTTACAAATAATCGACCAATAGAAAACAAATAGGATATGCAAATATATTTACTATCAAAGATACTATTGAGGAAAAAAAAAATTGTAATTGCAAACACGTCCTAATGTCTAAGCCCAATCCAACGCATTTGTCATAACAAATAAACAAAGAGAAAAATAATAAAACAAAAATAGGAACGAGGGACAATGTTTCAAAAATTGAAAAGCATATATCAGCATCCTGGCCATTGCCAGGACATGTCACGCATAACTAAATACAAAAGAAAAAGGAGAGAGCCACAGAAACAGTTGCAGGATGCGAAAAACAACAAGAAGCATAAGCTTCTGTCAAGGATACGTAAGGGATATTAAATGACAGGACAAATGGCAAATGCCCCACTTCATAGCCCAGTCCCTGTCCTTCTCTCTGCCACCGTCCCTGTACCTGGCCATGCCCATTGCCCAGCCTCCAACTGCGACAGAGTGGCAGGTACTCGAAGGTAAACGAAAAGCGCAAATCCTGTGAACAATAACAGGAGACAAACAACAAATGGCTGCGGGTTAGATTTATAAAAATATGTTTGTGTGCATGTATATATATATATTTCATGTGTACGACAATAGGTAAACAACAAAATTACAATATGCTTTTTTAAAAATTAGAAAAACAACGTGCAACAGTCAAGGCGAGGCGAGGCAAGCCACTCGCTTGACAGGACAATAATATTGTGATGCCCACGATAAGCAACTTCGTCTGGGTAAGGATTGGGGAGCGGGGGATTCAAAGAGGCAACCCAAAGATAAACATAAGCACAGACCTGAAACGGGCGGAAAAAAAGTCGCTGGGTCGCTTTTGCCTGGCTGACAGTTGAGTAACATTTTTGGGTAGGACGTATTGTGGCGTGGCAGATACACGTTGCAGCAAACACGAGTGCTATGCGAGCCTTGTCTCGTTGTCTTGTACTGCGAAACTAGCTAGATTCCTTGTGCATTGCATTAATTTTCAGGTCACGTATCCTTTTTAATCCTGACAAGAATATTATTTCCATAAAAAATGGCACGCAGCTAGCGTAAGCGCGCGGCCTCCACGGGCGGCATCATCTACGAAATCGTTTCGAGCATCAAGCATACGACACGTATGCCACAGCCGAATCATAGACAAGCAGCAGGCAGAGCGACACATGTATTTAATTTTATTTCAAATATACACTACACACAAACATCTATTCGAATTTAAGCATTAACAGGACGGCCTAGTGATAGCTTAAAGCTCAGCGAGTAACTTAAGGCAGCGATTGTCAACGCTGCGTATGCGTTATGTGCGACACTTGCGGCTTAAAGGATATTGTGTGTATTGTGTGGCCAAACGGCAACAGTTACAACGCATTCTTGTTTCTCGTTGTTAAATAAGCTGCAAATGGTCGCTCAGAGAATGGGCGAATACTGACTTTAATTTGTAGCAGCAGGCATATTTTGCAAGAGCCGCAAATTTAAGCTGAAACCAAAACAATTAAAGTAACACGAAGGGTTGTGCTATTCAGCTTGTGCTACATAAGTATTTAAGATTAACATAATAATAGTACTTAACATACACGATCGTATTTAAAGTAGCACATATGTGTTATATAATCATGTTACCTAAAGCTGAAATCGATGGCTTGCCGATATGCAGCAGTTTAGCAATATAATCTATCGTCGATTGTGCGTAGTTAATATTAATCTTTGGAATATTAAAAAAGACACGTTGCTTGAGCAGGGCCGATTATCTGAAGACAGAAGATTAATCAGAACTAAAATTGTTTTTTAGTTGAACAAGCTGTAACACTTGATCGCCAATCCCCTGGCCTAAGATGCTAAAAAATATAATAATAAATTCGATAAATAATAAAAGCGAGAAAGTACACAAATATTTGACTAACCAAAGAATAATACTCTTAAAAACATTTATTACAACTTTGCAGTTATGGGAGAAGTTGTAAATGTTGAGTTTGATGAAAATGTCTTGGAAAAAAGAATATTTCGACATACAAAAACTAATCTTACGACCGATCCTTATCATAGAGCTATATAATATAGTAGTGAGATCTTAATAATATTTGGCTAAATAAGCATCATAGAGCACACTAGTAAATATTGGGTTTAGTCAAGATATCTTAAAAACCAAAATGGTTTTTCGTACAAGAATCTACTTTCGACCGATCGTTCCTATGGTAGCTATATGATATAGTCCGATCCGACCAATGCCGACATGTGTATTGCCTGCAACAGAATGACGAACGTATGAAAATTTACAAGACGATAGCTTTAAGACTGATGATTAGGTTTGCATAGATACAGACAGACAGACGGACAGACGGACTTATCTACACCAACTCGGCTGTTGATACTGATCAAAAATATATATTTTATGGGGTCGAAAATGTCTCCTTCTATGCGTTACACACTTTATGACAAAATTATAATCACATCTATAAGGCTATAACAACAAGTAATTAAAATACCCTGTACCCCTCAGTCAATGTAATATTTAGATTATTAGTACTACGCCCAAACCACAAGGCTTTAGCTTTTAAAAAACGTTAATTTTTTGGGGAATAGGAGAACGTACGTAAAACGTAAAAAATTCTTAGCCTTCTAAATTTGGTTTATATTACTCTAACAGATTGCGAGTCATGCTTAAACAACTAAGTCTCAAAATCGATTTTTATCGTTCTGTTGGAAATATGACGAAATATCAATAAAATATTGAATATTCTCTTATACGGAGACGGACGCAATGAAACTCAAAGCCAAAATTGTAATATATACGTATTTAGCCACTTTACTAATTCTGATTCATACTTGTGTTGATGCCAATGAAAACAAATGGTGACACATATGGCAATGCCATGACTGACTATTATATTTAAAAATTCTGTAATTCGCTTATCTGGGTCAGAGCAATATAAAGGCAGCAAGAAAAATTAAATGATCTTTGAGAGAAAAATTTGAAAAGAATTTATGAATAATGATCAGTGATTGATATTACGAAGAGTTGGAGTTTCTTGTTCTTGTTAATAATATATTGTTTTCTATTTATTTAAAATAAAACAGTTGTAGTTCCATTGTTTGCCTTCATCTATATCTTTTTACATTTCTGGAGCTGGAACATTTGAATTTGGAAAAAGGATCAATGATGAATTTTTCTAAAGGTTCAAAAATATTTGACCAACAATTTAAGCTGTTGTTGAACGGGGATCGATTCTTAGTTGTTTCAGTATTGCTTTTGGACTCACCATGTCAAGGAAGTGGACTTTTGACATCCACTGTAGTTGCTTATGAGCATAGCACGTATGGAATGTATATATTGATAAAAGATAAATATAATCTTATCAAAACAAAGAAAACAAAGTCAATTTGTTTGTACTTAAAGCTATACTATACTACCAGACAAATTAACTACAACGAGAATCGAGCTGTGGCCGTACTTAAGCCGCTGCCTGCTGCTGTCTTAAGTTTTAGTGGCCTCTTGTATCCTCTTCGGCATTGTCAAGGACTGCTCTATATTCCGAACTAATACCAAAGGACATAGAAAATGTAAAATTTGTTTGTTTTCTGCATTGATGTTGAAAGTTTTTGCAGCTGTTGCAGACAATGCACGAGTCTTCGTCTTCATCTTCGTTTTTCCTCTCCACATCTAACCATGGCATACTGGCTGGCTTATTATTACAGTTTGTCGATTTGTTTGTATTGCAGTCGACATTGTTGTTCTGTCACAGCAACAGGGCCAACAACAATAAAGTTGTGTTTGCTGTGTGCGAGTGTGGGTGTGTGTGTGTGTGCATACCCAGCTGGCCAAGTGGCAGGAACCAATCGATTGTAATAAATTATTTGCAGCTATTGTGATTTGTAATGTTGGCAAATGCTTGACAAAAAGCGGAAGCCCCATCAACAGCTACCCATTCGATAATGCCAAAATTTTGGCTTTGGAATCTTGAAAAAAAAAAACATATTTATGCTGTAGACTGCTCTAACCACACTATTAGAAACTGAGCCTGATCAACAAAGCTTGACAGTTTATCTTATGTAGCTATAAAGTAGAGCCCATCCATTTGCATGTCACGCAAAATTTTTAGTGTGGCTTTTCGCGCTTCAAATACCGCACAAACCGAGGGAGTTTTCACCACGATCGCCGTTTAGTACTTTTTCTCAATAAAAGATATATTACCCTAGATACAATTGATAAATTTTAAAGGCAAATTTTAAAATAAAATAATAATATATGAGAGAGGCTAACCTACCGTCACATGAACTGCCTGCAAGTTTCATGACGATATAGACTCTAGTTTAGATAGAAACAGACGATATAACTATATCGATCGTCAGTTGATACTGACCACTGATATATATACTTTATGGGGTATCAAGATAATTCGCAAGATTTTTTACATAGTTTCGTTCGTTGTCAACTCAACTTGTTTTCGAGTTTGAATATACCCTGTAACAGACAGGATCTCGGAAACCACAAAAACGACAGAATTCAAATTTTTGAAATACCATTAGCGAAATTATCATTTTTCGTCGATATCTCGTCGATTTTGAACTTGGTTTTTTTAAGAATAATTTAAAAATTGAAATAAACCAAATGTGTACTAACACAATTTTTGCTATAATTCAAAAAGGTCGAACTATAAACAATTGATCTATTCAAGAATACATTCCCCAAAATTTATGTGTGACTAAGGAGCGAAGAATCACAGAATGTTTCTGATGGCAGCTTGGAGCTGGGTACAGGGTATTAATTTTTTTTTTTTTTTTTTTTTTTTTTTTGGTTTATTTTGCGCTGGAATCGATCAGTGCCTTCTGATCTCTACCAAGCGGAGTTAAGGGTATATTGTATAGTTATTATTTAATAACTTAAATGATAATTACAAACTTAAAAATATATAACAATAATGGGAAAGGGATGTTTAAGTGATGCGCCTCGTTGGTAGGTCGTCGGGGTGTAGCCTTCGGAGGCGCCTCTCACTGATGGGCTCAGCAAGGGCCCTTGCGGCCGCGTTCGGATGCTGCACCAATTTGTCGGAGTATCGGCTGCTGAAGAAGTTGAGCTGATCTCCGACCTTTGTTAGGCGGAGATCGCGTTCGATGGCGTCTGTTGTTACGTACCCTGGCAGGCCAGCAACCTTGCGTGCTGCCTTGGCTTGGACCACTCTTATGCGACGGAGCTGGTGTGCTGATGCCGTGCCCCAAACTTGGATCGCATATGTCCAGATAGGCGTTACCATCGTTTTGATAAGCAGTGTCTTCGTGGATATGTGCAGCTTGCTTTGAGGTTTTAGTAGCCAATCGAGCTTTTGTAGTCTTCTCAGGCATTTTGCTCTCGTTGCTGCGATGTGAGGCCCCCATATGAGCCTTCGATCGAGGTGGACACCCAAATAGCAGAAAGAGTTGGTCTGCTCAATGGTTCCTCCATCGAACCGTAGCCCCTGGCAGCTGTCTGGGAGCAGCGTAAAAGTGACGCAGGCGGACTTGGCACAGTTTATAGCGATGTTCCACATATTTTCATTTATTTCATTCTCGGTAAAGAAATTTCTTATCGCAGCTGATAACATATCGCAAGGTATTTCTTATATTTTGTCAGTATATGTTTGAAGCTGAAAAAGACATGACTGCAATTCAATTAAATGAGCTAGTTTTCGGAGAGGTAAGACTATTTAGTAATATTTAATAAGGTTTCTTTTGGTAAAAAGAGTGCAAATTATTTAGAAAATTGGAGGAGGCTGGTATGGTCTTATCCGGAAGGGAACATATAATGGCAACGTGGTAGCTATTAAAACCATTCAAGGGAATATTGAAACGAAGGATATTCAACGCGAAATCAAGTACTGGTCGATGATGGAACACAAGAACATCATTCCATTATTTGGGGCAGCGATCGACAAAAATGAGATCCACTTGGTTATGGAATATGCAGAAGGCGGAACCCTGGGGTACTTCTTGCATGAGAGCGATACACCATATACACTTGCAGAAGGTATAAGCTGGTTACGTCAGGCTGCGGAGGTATATAATACATATGCTTTTTAATCAGAGCGGATGAAAACTTTGATTATTTATGTTATATTTATAGGCACTCGCTTGTCTACATGGGCAATCAGAGCAATCAGTGGTTCATCGTGATGTGAAGCCCTTCAATATGTTGCTAGACGGCACTAGAAGCACGTTGAAAATTTGCGATTTTGGGTTTGTTAGAAATGTGCAATCCCAAATGACAAATCTAAAGGGAACTTGCTTGTATATTGCACCCGAGGTTGATATATCTCATATTTACGTGTATATATATCATTTCAATTAACGCACCTTACGACACACAGATTTTCAATGGTAAGCGATACACTGAGAAATGTGATGTGTATAGCATGGGCATTACAATCTGGGAAGTTCTGTCGCGTAAAGTGCCGTACTATGAAAAAGATGATCTTGGAAATGTTCAACTCTTAAGGCTAATCGATGACGGTATGTTCAAAATTTATAAGAGTATGAGTATACTTGTTAGAGAACAACATTAACGTTAACATATTATTGACGCAGATCTACGGCCATCTCTAAATGATTTAATTTTTGAGTGTCCCGAACAAATAAAAACTCTGATGCTAGAATGCTGGGATCGTAACCCCGATAAGCGTCCCTCCATGAAGAGTATTGTGGACATCTTGACATCAAATGAATAATATTTAATTTTATTTTATTTTGATTAAAAGCGAACAAATTATTACTTCATTATTCTCGACCTTGTTGCCTGGCCTGAGATGTGGCCAAGTTACATAAACACACGGCCCGCCCCATCTCAGCTCATAACGAAATAAATTTAAAATGACTTCTTTCAGTCTAATTGATCAATGTACATAACAAATGAAGAGTACTTTCATTAGCCGAACTGAAATATGGAGAAGCTGCACGCATGCTGGACCATCCATTCATCATCTGCACTTCGAGACACTTCTGCGAACAAGTTTCAACTATCGTAATTGACCCGGAACTAGCTTAAAGCCAAATATTTGCACAGCATGTCAGTTGTGTGGGTGGGAAAAGGAAAGACGTGGCCATCGAGACAGGGGCCAATGCCTGCTATCAATAACTGCAAGGCATTGCTACAGACGGTCACGCCCACGGCCCCAGAAACACCAATACAAGTACACTTAATGATTGGCCCAAAGCAAATAGAAGTGCAAAAGATGAAAACAAATATTTCCATAGCATATGCAAAGTGAACAGATACAGATACGGATACGAGTATTGGATACGAATGTAGAAGCGAGCAGGTTATCATAAGTTTCGAGTGTCAACTATCATAGTCCTAGTTTTTCAGGCACCCATTCAATTTTGTTCTTTTTTTTCTTCTCTTTTTTCTACTCCGCACTAATTGTAGATAAAACGGTCCCAATTGGCGCAAGGCTGCAGCTTCTCAGTTTCACTTTCATTTCCTATTGCCGTTACCCATTACCAATTCAGTAGTCAGGAGCCAATTGATGGGGCGTGTCGTCAGAGTGTCTTGTGGCTATATTGTCAAAGCATTTAGCGATGCGGTTCGATATGAACACAGAGCAAAGTGTTAAAGACTGTATGTGTGTGTGTGTGTGCGAGTTTGTGTGTGTGTGTGGTTGTGCGTGAATGTCTGGACCATGTCCTGTGACTTGGCTCATTGCAATTTTGCACGTGAACTTGTTAAGAGCAAAAACAACGTGGACAAAACATGAAACTGCAAATTGAACGCTTATTGCCATGAAAAACAAGTAAAGGTGCTCGAGTCGGGATTGCCCGAGCTGTCGCAACAAACACACACAAGTGCAATAGTCTTTACGTAAAAAAATGTAATATATTGAACTTTTAGGGGCATATGGACCTCCCACAAAACAGACTTACTGTCTTTAAATCGATATTTATCGAAATTATAAATATATCAAAATGATAACACGCTTTATATATATAGCATATTATAATTAAAGTCTCTGTTACGAACAGTCGCCGATGCGTTTATATACACGGACAAACAAGCTTACATGCTTAGATCGGCTCAGCTTGTCGGCCTGATCAAGAATCTTTTATATGGAGTCAAAGATGCCGCTTTTTACCTACTTCTTACACTTACAAAAACCCATTATACCCTTTTATACGCATTTACAATCTATACAGGGTATAAATTAAAAAAAAAAGCACTTCCAAAGGGAAACAAACACAAGCAATGTAAAACTAATGAATCGATATTCTGCAAAATCTAATGCTGAATGACAAAAAAATGAAAACTACCTTTATTGATTAAAAGGCACGGAATAATAAAAAAAATGGATAAATACAGATATTGCCATAAATATTTTGACACCTCTACTATATTGTGAGCTCCCACAATAAATATTTGGGAAAACAAGATCGAACTTTTAACGTTAGTTTCATTTTGGTCAGCTTTGCTTTTAACTCATTTAAAAAAAAAAAACATTTAAAAAAGAATGTTTTTGAAATTCAGTTTGAAAAATTAAGCATTAATGTAAAAAACTTTTCTGTACATACCTTACTGTGAGATTGTAAACGTGGTAAATAGTTTTCATACATTTTTTAAGGGAGTTACCAAATAAATTGATCTCGGAGCAAAACATTTGCAACTTTGCCTATTTTAATCGTCTACTGGCCTTTTACATATACGTATCACTGAAAAAAAAGCATTGCTTAAATTAATGAGAATCTCTTAGAAAGGCGACATTTAATAGAAAGTAATTGAGAAAGAAAAGGCAGCAGTAAGATAAAGAAAATTATGGAATAAGATGGACCGAGTGAATTACTAAAGAGAAAAGCCAAATAAAATAAATAAAAGGGAAAGTCTATTACATATTAACTCATATAAATACATTTTATTTAGCCAAATATCAAAATAGGCTAAGAAGACGTTGTTAACTAGATTTTTTTGAATTGCGCGCCCTTTAGCGCCTATCATAGCAACGAGCTTGGTGCTGCCTGTGAGCAGTGCTGCCCATTTGCAGTGCTGCCCATTAGCTATTTCAATTTGAATTGTTCAACAATTCGAATTTGTCTCAATATTTGTTCAGGTCGAGGCTTGGCTATAATTTAAACAATTTTAAATTGATTTTAGGCTTAGATTAATGAAATAAAGGAAAGGGGAGCCACATCGTCCTTTATTTAATGAAGAGCACTTGCATTTTTAAAAAAAATTTCTTTATTTAAACAAAATTAAACTCCACTAACAGAAACAATCCAATCCCTGACTGCCGCTACTCTGGAATAAACACCTGGATATTCGGGCTTCGCACAGCCAAATCCCCACGAAACGACGCCCCAGAGTTTGCCATGGGCAGCCAGCGGACCACCCGAATCCCCTTGGCACGCATCCTTGCCGCCCTCCTGCAGACCCGCGCACAACATACGATCTGTGATATTACCAAAATTATCATAGGCCAACGTGCACTGCGTCTGATTCACCTTGGGCACGGTAACGGCGCGCAGCACATCCGTAGATTCCTCCGCATTTTGGGTGTTGCCCCAGCCAGTAATGGTGACGGGCGTCCCATCCGGAATATCTTCATTCTGCTTGGGCAACTGCACAAACGCCTGCGTTATATTTGTGGCATTATACTGGGCCAACTCCAGCAGCGCAAAGTCATAGTCAATAATGCGTGGATCGTATTTGGGATGACGATGAACGCGCTGAATGTCCGCCAGGACACCGCCGCTATCCTTGCGCGTGGCACCAATGCGTACTCGAAGCGATTGCACGTTGGCGTTCTCGACACAATGGGCAGCAGTCAGTGCCCAGCCGTCAGCTATCAACGAGCCGCCACACATGTGATAATTGCGCTGGAGTGATATTTGATAGGGATAATCCTTAATGGTCACCTCAATGCCGCCCACAATGCGTCCATCCAGTCGCAGGCGCAGTTGTGGCGCCGGCGGCGGCGGCACAGCCAAGCAGCCGATGCAGGCCAACAGTAGCGGTAGGAGCAGCGTCTTCCGATGATGCGACATCTTCAGTTCCGAGTAGGTTAGTGGTACGCTAACTCAACTGGCGCCGAGCTTATATACGAAGCCAATGGGTTATCAATCGTTTGTTTTTCAAGGTCAATCACATGTGTGTGTTTATTTAGCGAAGGTATCCACTTGGCCTAGTTAATCCGTCGCCGATACTCGTAAAATTTATTGCCCACAGACGATGACGTCGTCATCGACTATGTTATCTTAAAATCAATTATTTAACTAATATTGTTATAAGCGAACAATTCGGGGTGTTTTTCCTATATTTGAACTATCATCAGCAATAAAAGGTTGGAAAGTGTCCTCAAAAAACAAGTGGCTTAAGCGGATACACATCTCAAAATCAGCAAGAACCCATGTTTTCAATTTTCAATGTATTTGCCCAATTAGAACCATAGATAACTTTATGTTCTTTGTTGACTTTTCGTTTTGAAACAAATAGTTCCAATACGAACTATAAGATATAGTGATCCGAATCAGACAAAAGAACTGTTTGCTACAGAAAACGCACCTGAGTTGGGTTTCTTGAAGATTTAAAATTGAGACTTGTTTTCAGAGCTTGGGACTTTCATACAAGAGCTAATCGACTCGAGAGTTGGATATGCTCGAGAATATATATACTTTGTGGCCCCATTGTATTATATATTATAATGTCAGATCGCGTTGACATCTGCTAGATCTGCTTCTCCGTATTAATAGCCCCCTGTGTCTTTGTAATAACACGTAGTTCAAGGGCGTCTAAGATGATGGCCTTTGGTCATAGTAGATGCCACGATGCGAAGTGTATCCTTTGAATTACTCAATGTCCAGACAGTTTTATCACAGTGATGACTGTTGGCACTCTTTATCCTTGAGCTTCCATCGAGTTCGCACAGCTCCGATGGCTACTCTGCCGAACGTGCTTGGCTAAATAGATCCTTAGTAGTTGCCCTTATTGACTTTGTGAAACTTGAACTTCATCGATAGCTGAACTTCATTAATAATGTATGTACCATTGCATTTGGTAGCGAGAAGAGATTAAACCTTCTCCTTAATATATTAATTACAAATTTTATTTTATGCATTCAAGAAGCAGTTTTTGTACCACTATAGAAAATATGTTTCTGATGCTCTTCATCCATTACAAACGGATAAAATGGTTTCGTATATATCTCCATGTTCATCCGTCTGTTCGTATGATCTCGTTAACTATTGAAGCCAGTAATGGATTATCGTATTTAATGAGCAGAGTAAATTAGCCTGCTTCTGAAATGGCTCACTCTATTTTCATTTTTTGAGATTACACAAAATTTCTAATGCACGTACAAGTACGGAAATAAATATGTTTCACGAAAAGCTGCAAGCATTGATCTCTCTAGCTTTTATAATGTCCGATATGTTCAAAAACACCAAAGAATGGCTATCTTCGGGATGCCGAAGGAACGATCGGTCGTCGATTGGGTGTTTTTGCAAAGAACTTTTTTGTCTTTTAAAAATTATTATCTTAAACTCAGCAATTACGAGCTTCAGTATTATTCTAACCCAGCTGCATCAAGTCGAACTAATAGAATACATGCTTGATATATGTATCTCAGTCGGAAATAAAAGATTTGTTTAAAAGGGTTTTGTTTACGTTAAGGGACTGCAATGATATTTGACCTTCGGCGTGCCGAATTAATCAAAAATCTAAACGAGAGATTTGCATATCGATGCACAGCTTGGAAGCATTCAAATAAGAGGGACAAGAACAGGAATCTGGTACTTCTGCTCTGTACTAGACTGATCTGTTGCATAATTAAGAGTTTGCATTTGCTTACAGTTTAAGCCAGGTCAGGAATTTATTGTTGGACGGCATATCGGTCACTCGGTCCAACTGCAAACCATTAACAGCCGCCAACTGCTTCAGATCCCTGATATCCCTGATGCCCCAAGATGCGTTGCGACGCCTTAAATCCGCATCAAAGTCTACATTGCTTTTGGGCGTCAACTGGCCATCCTGGGCATAGGGTCCATAGGTGAACAGTTTGCCGCCAGCCTTTAGCAGCTGGCCGGCAGCACGAAACAGGCCCTCGGAGCAGGCCCATGGGCTAATGTGCATCATGTTGCAGTTCAGCATGTAATCGTAGCTGGCAGGCTTCGCCTGCTTCACTGTGTCCGCATCCCATAGATGCAACTCCTGCGAAATGTCAACAAAGAGCGGCGGACAAATGTTTCCCGTGACGCAGTCCGCGGCATATGCGTTAATGGAGTCGAAATCCTGGCGGGAATATTCCGAAGTTTGAAAACTTATATTGGGTAGCAAAGGCGCCAAAAACCCAGCGTGCTGACCCGAACCAGACGCAATCTCGAGCAGCCGCAAGTTGGGTGTTTTCTTATCCACCTGCAAGAGCAGGGCCTCCGATATCGGCTGCGAATTGCGATCTGCCGATGGATGTGTACGCTTTCTAGCGCTGCAAAGCGTTGACACATGCAATAAACGTTTAAGAGGTCGTGTGAAACTGTGTGCAGCGATTACTATAAGTTTAATTAGAATTTGTCTAACAATTTACCTCATATTGCTGCGAGCTTCACTTACATTATTTAGTTCAGATTCTAGTGAGGTGACTCGCAATTAATCGACCAGGGCTGGCGCAACTCGTGATTGTTAATAAGGCACGATTGCTGCATGTGAATGTACCCAAATTGGTACACTGCTTATGTTCCTGTTTACAAATAAAAAATATCTGCAAATATTTTTGTATGTATGCCACGAGCAACTGAATAATAGCAAAGCCAATTGCAAAAGAATAATTGCTGTATTATTACTTAAATATTATTTAAATAATTTATTTTAAATACCAATATATATATGTCCGCCCTTAAATGTTTCTGTATTTACACTCAACTATCGATATCTAGTGCATTATTTATTGCACGCATATCAATAAATGTCATTTTCTTTTCGCAGTGCTGCTTAAACTCTATCGCACGACCGCCACAATTTGCTGTGAGATCCACAAATTTTTGCCATTTTTACAGGCATTGTTTTGTTAAATCAATTTTTGCGCCTAAATAAGCTGCACAATGTCTGATAATGATGACGATTTCATGTGCGACGATGATGAAGATTATGGTCTGGTAAGAATATCACCAATAAAGTTTCTCCTAGCGCTGTTCTTGAAACCCGGCATCTGCTTCGCTCGCGGCTTCTATTTTAGGAATACTCAGAGGACAGCAACTCGGAACCGGACGTAGATCTAGAGAATCAATACTACAACAGCAAGGCACTTAAAGAGATGGAGCCCACAGCAGCGCTCGCCAGTTTCCAAAAGGTGCTCGACTTGGAGAATGGCGAAAAGGGTGAGTGGGGCTTCAAGGCACTGAAGCAGATGATAAAAATCAACTTTAGTCTGGTGAGTGGGCAGCACAAGGTTCAAAAGAAAAAAAACCTGACAAATCCTTTTACTTAACTCGCAGAACAACTACAAGGAAATGATGGTGCGCTACAAACAGCTGCTCACCTACATTAAAAGCGCTGTCACACGCAACCATTCGGAGAAGAGCATCAACTCCATACTGGATTACATTTCAACGTCCAAGAATGTAAGTGAGAAGCTGGCAAACATAAATTTCTAAGCAGGCCAATATATTTGTATATTTGTGAGAACTGGATTAGGCCGGGCTACATCTGATTTTAAAGAGGTTTCATATTTAACCAGTTAACTCCAACTCCTCTACAGAATTTCAATGTCTTAGAGGGTATCATATATATTTGTTATTAAATATGTAGCACATAAAAACAGACATTTCCGACCCCATATAGTGTAGTTATACTTGATCGCAAGCATCAGTACCTTGTCATCTGTCTGTGTATTTCAACGAAAATAAGTTCAGACGAACATTCTGATTTAGGATCGAAGACAGAGTTTTTGTATAATATACGAGATTCAGAATGAGGCAAATAATATATTGCCATCAGCGGGCTACAAAATAATAGAACTGATAAGAAAAATTGCTCAAGTTTTGTTTTTGAAAAATGCACGGACCAAACTAGGTAATGGCGAGTGTTGCTTTGCTTCTAACACATAGGCTAAATCCTATTGCCATCGGGCGCCAATTCATTGTTTGTATAATACACCCTTTGTTTAATAAACAAACAAAAAGCACCTTGCCAGGTCAAAAAAAAAAACAAAAATCAACTTAAATTACAATTAATCGTAAAAAATTCTTTTAGATGGAGTTGCTGCAAAACTTTTATGAGACCACTTTGGATGCTCTGCGCGATGCCAAAAACGATCGCTTGTGGTTCAAAACTAACACTAAGCTGGGCAAGCTGTACTTTGATCGCAGCGACTTTACTAAATTGCAAAAGATACTCAAACAGTTGCATTCGAGCTGCCAGACAGACGACGGCGAGGATGATCTAAAAAAGGGCACACAATTGCTGGAGATTTATGCATTGGAAATTCAAATGTACACTGTACAAAAAAACAACAAGAAACTGAAAGCTCTCTACGAGCAATCGCTGCACATTAAATCAGCTATTCCACATCCTCTTATAATGGGCGTTATTCGCGAATGCGGCGGCAAAATGCATCTACGCGAAGGCGAATTCGAGAAGGCGCACACAGACTTCTTTGAGGCCTTCAAGAACTACGATGAAAGCGGCTCGCCCAGACGCACCACCTGCCTTAAGTACTTGGTGCTAGCAAATATGTGCGTGAAATTGTATTAAATTAATTAAAACTGCATAATTAATATGATCTGTTCAACAGGCTTATGAAGTCCGGTATCAACCCGTTCGACTCGCAGGAGGCCAAGCCTTATAAGAACGATCCCGAGATTTTGGCCATGACAAATCTGGTTAATTCATACCAAAACAATGACATCAACGAGTTTGAGACTATATTGCGTCAACATCGCAGCAACATTATGGCTGATCAGTTTATACGCGAACACATTGAGGACTTACTGCGCAACATACGCACCCAGGTGCTCATTAAACTGATCAGACCATACAAGAACATAGCCATACCGTTCATAGCCAATGCACTCAACATTGAGCCCGCCGAGGTGGAGAGCTTGCTGGTTTCCTGCATACTCGATGAGTACGTGACTTGTCAGCAGATCAGCTTAAGCCCTAGCTAAATAATTTAATTTTACTTTTCAGCACCATCAAGGGACGCATCGATCAGGTGAATCAAGTGCTGCAGCTGGACAAGATTAATAGCAGTGCAGCCCGCTACAATGCGCTGGAGAAATGGTCCAACCAAATCCAATCGCTGCAGTTTGCTGTAGTACAGAAAATGGCTTAGGCATAAGGCAATGATTAAAACCTAATCGAAATTATGAAAATATTTTAAACGCCGTCTGCTTATTTAAAAGGTACCGTCGAAAGTTGAGAGCATTGAGCATTAAATGTGACAATGGTTAGCTAGTGTATCAAATCATTTGTATATATACATACACATAAGTGGTAAGGGCTTTCCGTATAATTTTGAGATAAGCGCTGGTACTTGTACCATAAATGTAATGGTTGCAGTACAAGCGATAAGCCACAGTATATTTCCACACCCAACATAGGAATATTCCAAATATTCAATTGCTTAAAAAGACCGCTTCATAAAGAACGTTGTGTTATAAATAAGTAAGAAGTGTCGGGAGCCGTTCTATGCACCTGCGTCTATTTTATTTACCAAACTTTTTTAAATTCTACCAAAAAATATAATTGGAATTTCCATTGACGAACCAAAAAGAAGTGCCTGAGCATGTTTTGATAAAATTTCAATAGCTATCATATTTATGGTCTTCGCGATAAAGAAAACAAATTTGAAATGCAGACACATTGAATAGGCCATACTTTGATAATTACAAATTTTAGAGGTCAAGAAAGTAAAAATAATATAGTTGAAACAGTGGAAAAGAAAAATCTATACAATGTTAGGAAATATAGAAAATTCGTTTTATCTAAAAATAATATTAATGTGAATGATTTAACCATCACGTTTTAAGAATGAAATTCATATTTTTAATTTCAATCAGGTCCTTCATAAACAACTTAGAAGCTTATGAAGTTAAGGTTTTGATAAGTCGACATAACTCAACAGAGTGACAGTCTACTAATACTCTAAAATTACTGAATAGCATGAGTCGCAAAATATGATAATGAATTTCAGTTAATTTGGAAGAATAGACAATACCTCAGAAGAATTGAAAATTCAGACTCAATTTATTATTTAAACAGTTTGAGCAGTTACCGTAGGAATAGCCGCTCGTGTTTCGATTATTTCTGTTTTTTCCTTCTTTCCGCAGCGCTCGTGCATCCACAATCTCAGTCTATAGATCCAGAAGATTAATACACAAAAGATCAGGGCTAAAACAATGCAGCCACAAACGCTGCCAATGGCCAGTCCCGGCCTCTCCCAGTCCAGAATAAAGTATATGAACCGATTACCTAAGCTGCAAGTGGGCCAAAATAATAATGCAATTTATAAAAATAAAATAATATGGAATTGCCCAATGAAATTGCTCACATGTCTACGCCGCCTGCCCAGAAGTAGATTAGCGAGAAAATACCATAGATGAGGCCCACAGCAAGTGGATATACAAAGTGCATCAGGCGCGTGGGAAAAGCCACAATAAAACAATCGAAAATCATGCAAACGGAATTAAACGCATGCGCCCAGATATTGTAAAGTCCAATGGGCCCACCAGCCATGCCTAAAGAAGGATTTTTTTTGTAATATAATTATTTCAGTTTCTCACATAAGTCTTAAGAAGTGCGACTCACTCGGATACAGCGCTGCCCAAAACACCAATGTTATCATCATGGCCAGGACGGTGGTCGTGTAGTGCGAGCACCAGTAAATCTTGAGTGCCCAGCTACCAGGTTCTGCAAATAGGTCATGTGTCAAAATTGTTGTGAATCGGTATGAATTGTATTAATTATGTGCGAACTATTTGTGTGAAAGTTAAATGTGCTGTTCGAATCATGAATCAATGCTCTGAATTAAACCACTGTGAAATGTTCACTATGGCAATTAAGGATTTATGAGTTAAGCAGAGAATATGAATGGATTCGTTTTAATGTTAAGTTAACAGGGACTTCGATTACAAAACAAAATTTGAATACTGTTATGGACGTTTTACAGCCCTAATTGCTTCTCAAACAAAATGATGGGGAGGGAGGTATAAATGTATCTTGAAATATTGAAAAATAAAAAGGGGAAAAAGGGGATTTCACATCACTTCTTACCAAAGTAGCTGGGCCTTATAAAGTATATGGTGGCTACCACGGCGCCATAGGCGCAGGCATAGAAACACAAAGTGAAACCCCAATCGGTCAGATAGATGAACCACCTGCCGTCGTTATAATCCTGCACGAGGCTGCCAATGACACCGCCCGCAAAGAAGGCGGCCAAAAGCCAACGATAGATCAGCCAGATGAAGCAGCGTTCGCCACGTTGCCACTGGGAGCGGCAAAGGTCCGCAGGCTCATCGTGGTGCAGTGAAAATTTGGAGCACTTGAACTCATCCAACAGAGGCTGGCAACAGCATTGCCCGCTTGGATCGCGCATGCCGGCTGGATGAACTCGATGTCTACGAAGCTGGACAAACGCTGCTAGGGCCGTCCAGAGCAGCTGGCTAGATTGTTGGTAGAACGAGAACTGACGCAGCCAGGGCCAGAGTTGGCCCAGCAGAGCTGACAGTTTGGCATTATTTCCGAAAATCGCTGGAGTTGAATGGCAATTTGAGTGCTGAACTTATCAGGGCACGATCCTTATCGCCAGATATGTATAGCTGGAAAGTACTTCCAATGATTATGTCTATCAGATAAGTCACGGTACAAATAACCAATAAGCATTTAACCGCTGTTATTAACGTTGTCCAGAACCGAACTAACTTGGCCAACAACGCGGCACTAGCAGCAGCAGCAGCTAACAAAGCGAAGCAGGCCTGAAAAATTTCCCACGATTTTCCACGCGCAAAATTTGCGTTGAATTTTTAAACAACTTTTTGGGAACTTTTGCACATGATTCATGCGAACAATAAAACTATCATAAATAAACATTGGCTGACTCTGTCGGGTAAATACAGCCCTAATGATAAGAAGGCGCGATCATTCAAAAAAAAAACGAGAAAGAAGTGCTATATTCGGCACACCGAAGATTTAATACCCTTGCAGACCCAAGCTTTTCAAAATGCTCATAGTGCTTTGCCCGTATCTAAGAAGCACAGGGAAAATAGTTAATGCCGAGTATGGTTAAGATATCTTGAAAAACAAAACAGGTTTCCATACAACAACTTAATTTTCGACCGATCGTTCCTATGGCAGCTATATGATATAGTTGTCCGATGTGAATAAGATTTTGCATAAGTGGAGGGAGCATAGTAAAACTAATAAATGCCGAGTTTGGTCAAGATATCTTGAAAAATAAAAAAAATTCCATACAACAGCATAATTCTCGACCGATCGTTCCTATGGCAGCTATATGATATAGTTGTCCGATCTTAATAGGATTTTGCAAATAAATGGGGAGCGTAGTAAAACTAATAAATACCGAGTTTGGTCAAGATATCTTGAAAAACATAAAAATTTTCTATACAAAAACTTAATTTTCGACCGATCGTTCCTATGGCAGCTATATGATATGGTTGCCCGATCTTAATAGAATTTTGCATATATATGGGGAGCTTAGTAAAACTAATAAGTACCGAGTTTGGTCAAGATATGTTGAAAAACATACAAATTTTCCATACAAAAACTTAATTTTCGACCGATCGTTCCTATGGCAGCTATATGATATAGTTGCCCGATCTTAATAGGATTTTGCATATATATGGGGAGCGTAGTAAAACTAATAAATACCAAGTTTAGTCAAGATAACTTTATAAACAAAAATGTTTTTCATACAAGAACCTACTTTTCGACCGATCGTTCCTATGGCAGCTATATGATATAGTGGTCCGATCCAGCTGGTTTTGACATATGAATTGCGTGCAACAGAAAGAGGAAATTCTGCAAAGTTTCATAAAGATTTCAAACTGAGAGACTAGTTCGCATAGAAACAGACAGACGGACAGACGGACATGGCTATATCAACTCGGCTGTTGATACTGATCAAGAATATATATACTTTATGGGGTCGGAGATGTCTCCTTCTATGCGTTACACATTTCACGACAAAATTATACAAAAGGGTATAAAAATATCAACGATTTCATTCAAACTGAAATCAGTCGCACACGCTATCAATTTATCATTTGCAAGTTAACATTCAATCAAAATCGTAATTGCGTAGCGGAGCATGTTACGGATCGAACGTGTGCCCAGGCACTTCAATATTGGAACTTGAACTCAGGTGTTTCCTATGGAACGCGACTACAAATAAACTATGCACACACTCTGTTAACTGAGGCCAACAATGTGGCATGGGATCCCTCTACATTAAAGATAAACTAAATTACGCGGTCTATTCTGTTAGTCATGTTAATAAAAAGAATATTATCACATTTTGATGGTCATGCGTTGAAAATAAAAGTTAAGAAAAGGAGATAAATGCTGGGAAAAAAACAGAATACGATTTATGAACAACTAAAAAATATCTTTCGAGAAAAAATATATATATACATTTTAAATACAAATTATTATTCAAAAATGCATATGCTAGTTTTTTATAAATATATAATGTCTTGAAAACTAAATACTATTCATCTGCTTAAAATTAAAACATCATATTAAATAATAATTAAATAATTAATATAAAATAATAAAAAAAAAAATATATATATATATATATATACTAGCGGGTATAACCCGGCCTTGTCCATGGCACGTATGTTATAAAATCAATGTTTTCAAAAAGCTTTGAAAATGATTTTGAAACTGATCGGACGGGAATCAAACAAACTTAAAATTCACCAAAAAAAAATTGAAATGCATTTTCCACCGAAGGAGTTTAGATTTTGCGAAAAATGTGAAACACGTCTCAAATAATTTTTCTTATAGATCTTTGGAAATAAATTTGAACACAAAACGTCATCCACCAAATCTTCGACCCCCATTTGCACCAAGGAGGAATGGATTTTTCAAAAAGTGTGAAACACCCCTCAAATGAATTTGAACATAGATCTTGAAAATGCGTTTGGGGCCTATCAGATGGTAAACAAAAAACTTTCATACAACCGTTTTCCGCCAATTTACCACTCTTGCGGGTGGAATTTCCCAAATCACTGAAATACGTATTTATTAAGTTCTTATGTAGAGCTTTGAAAATAAGTTTGAAGCAAATCGGACACAACTTAAAACTTCGCACAAAAAATCTTTGAGTCGCATTCCACCCGAAAAAGTTTGTATTCTGCGAAAAGTGTGAAACACGTCTCAAATGATTTTTCTTATAGATCTTTGGAAACGAATTTGAGCGCGAAACGTCATCCACCAAATCTTCGACCCCCATTTCCACCAAGGAGGAATGGATTTTTCGAAAAGTGTGAAACACCCCTCAAATGAATTTTAACAAAGACCTTTGAAACTAAATTTGAGGCCGGTAAACAAAAAAGTTACATACAAACGTTTTTCGCGATTTTGCCACACTTGCGGGTGGAATTTCCCGAAACCCCGTCTTAACGTGCACCTACATCACATAAGGTAGCTACAGTGAAAATTTCAGCTTCCTAGCTCTTACGGTTTGGGCTGTGCGTTGATCACCAATCAGTCAGTCAGTCAGTCAGGACAAACAGTTTTATATATAGAGATAAAATATATATATTCAAAGATAGTTTTTATAAAAAAATTAATTTCGGAAAAACCGAAATATTATTTATCTGCTTTAGATTAAGACAATATTATAATCATAATAAAATAATATTAAGCAATAAATAACAATATAAAAAAAATATATCACTGATTGCCTAATAAAATAATAATAATAATAATAATAAATTAATAAATAATAATAATTAAAATGTAATTGATTGCCTATAAAAATACGAATAAATAAATAACATTAAAAATATTAGTGATTACCTATTAAAATATTAATAATAAAATTTAATATATACAATTTTTTTATGTGATATAAATTATGCAGTTTTATTTTAAAAAAATGCTGATACATTTCGTACATTCGTAAAACTTGCTTAAATGAAAATAAACATTGTTGAATTGAGTCGTGCATTACGTCGATAATATAACATATAAACTCAAAATAAAAACCACAATAAAAGTCATCTCATAAGCATTAAACTTTCTTTGGCAAAGATCGATACATTTTCCCAAAAAATCCAGGAAAATTAAAAAATGTAAAAAAAAGTTAGCTTAGCCCAGGGACATTAAAAAAAAGAACACCTAATAATTTAATAGACCAAAATCTGTTTTAAACGTTGTTCTGATGGCCAGCATAATTTGTAGCAGACTACTCGGACGCAAATCTAAGCTTGTAATCTTTGCATACAGTTGCATTCGAGCTGCCAGACAGACGACGGCGAGGATGATCTAAAAAAGGGCACACAATTGCTGGAGATTTATGCATTGAAAATTCAAATGTACACTGTACAAAAAAACAACAAGAAACTGAAAGCTCTCTACGAGCAATCGCTGCACATTAAATCAGCTATTCCACATCCTCTTATAATGGGCGTTATTCGCGAATGCGGCGGCAAAATGCATCTACGCGAAGGCGAATTCGAGAAGGCGCACACAGACTTCTTTGAGGCCTTCAAGAACTACGATGAAAGCGGCTCGCCCAGACGCACCACCTGCCTTAAGTACTTGGTGCTAGCAAATATGTGCGTGAAATTGTATTAAATTAATTAAAACTGCATAATTAATATGATTCTGTTCAACAGGCTTATGAAGTCCGGTATCAACCCGTTCGACTCGCAGGAGGCCAAGCCTTATAAGAACGATCCCGAGATTTTGGCCATGACAAATCTGGTTAATTCATACCAAAACAATGACATCAACGAGTTTGAGACTATATTGCGTCAACATCGCAGCAACATTATGGCTGATCAGTTTATACGCGAACACATTGAGGACTTACTGCGCAACATACGCACCCAGGTGCTCATTAAACTGATCAGACCATACAAGAACATAGCCATACCGTTCATAGCCAATGCACTCAACATTGAGCCCGCCGAGGTGGAGAGCTTACTGGTTTCCTGCATACTCGATGTACAGAAAATGGCTTAGGCATAAGGCAATGATTAAAACCTAATCGAAATTATGAAAATATTTTTAACGCCGTCTGCTTATTTAAAAGGTACCTTCGAAAGTTGAGAGCTATTGAGCATTAAATGTGACAATGGTTACCTAGGGTATTAAACCATATAAGTGGCAAAAGCTTTCCATATAATTTTGAGATAATCGCTGGTACTTGTACCATAAATATAATTGTTGCAGTACAAGTGTTAAGCCACAGTATATTTCCACACCCAACATAGGAATATTCCAAATATTCAATTGCTTAAAGAGTCCGCTTCATAAAGAACATAGTGTTATAAAGTATGAATTATCGGGAGCCTTTAAGAGGGGGATTCCTATTTCTATGCACCTGGGTCTATTTTGATTACCGAACTTTTTTATACTCTACTCAATAGCTATCAGAAAATAAGTATTTATTTTTATGGTCCTCGCGATAATGAAAACAAATTTGCAATGCAAACACATTGAATTAACCAAACTTTGATAACTAAAAATTTTAGAGGTCAAGAAAGTAAAAATAATCTAGTTGAAAAAGTCGAAAAGAAATATCTGAACAATGTTAGGAAATATTTAACTATCTCGTTTTAAGAACGAAATTCATATTTTTAATTTCAATCAGGTCCTTCATAAACAACTTAAAAGCTTATGAACTTAAGGTTTTGATAAGTGGACATAACTCAACAGAGTGACACTCTACTAATACTCTAATATTGCTGAATAGCAGGAGTCGCAAAAAATGATAATGAATTTCAGTTAATTTGGAAGAATAGACAATACCTCAGAAAAATTGTAAATTCAGACTCAATTTATTATTTAAACAGTTTGAGCAGTTACCGTAGGAATAGCCGCTCGTGTTTCGATTATTTCTGTTTTTTCCTTCTTTCCGCAGCGCTCGTGCATCCACAATCTCAGTCTATAGATCCAGAAGATTAATACACAAAAGATCAGGGCTAAAACAATGCAGCCACAAACGCTGCCAATGGCCAGTCCCGGCCTCTCCCAGTCCAGAATAAAGTATATGAACCGATTACCTAAGCTGCAAGTGGGCCAAAATAATAATGCAATATATAAAAATAAAATAATATGGAATTGCCCAATGAAATTGCTCACATGTCTACGCCGCCTGCACAGAAGTAGATTAGCGAGAACAGACCATAGATGAGGACCACAGCAAGTGGATATACAAAGTGCATCAGGCGCGTGGGAAAAGCCACAATAAAACAATCGAAAATCATGCAAACGGAATTAAGCGCATGCGACCAGAGATTGTAAAGTCCAATGGGCTCACCAGCCATGCCTTAAGAAGGATTTTTATTAATATAATTATTTCGGTTTCTAAGTCTTAAGAAGTGCGACTCACTCGAATACAGCGCTGACCAATACACCAATGTTATCATCATGGCCAGGACGGTGGTCGTGTAGTGCGAGCACCAGTAAATCTTGAGTGCCCAGCTACCAGGTTCTGCGAATAGGTCATGTGTCAAAATTGTTGTGAATCGGTAAGAAAATGAGTTGTAAATGTTGACTGAAGTAGTAATAGACTTATATTTCCCTTGCAATTTTTGTGTGAAAGTTAAATGTGCTGTTCGAATCATGAATCAATGCTCTGAATTAAACCACTGTGAAATGTTCACTATGGCAATTAAGGATTTATGAGTTAAGCAGAGAATACTTCGATTACAAAACAAAATTTGAATACTGTTATGGACGTTTTAAAGCCCTAATTGCTTCTCAAACAAAATGATGGGGAGGGAGGTATAAATGTATCTTGAAATATTGAAAAATAAAAAGGCAAAGGAAAAAGGGGATTTCACATCACTTCTTACCAAAGTAGCTGGGCCTTATAAAGTATATGGTGGCTAAAACGGCGCCATAGGCGCAGGCATAGAAACACAAAGTGAAACCCCAATCGGTCAGATAGATGAACCACCTGCCGTCGTTATAATCCTGCACGAGGCTGCCAATGACACCGCCCGCAAAGAAGGCGGCCAAAAGCCAACGATAGATCAGCCAGATGAAGCAGCGTTCGCCACGTTGCCACTGGGAGCGGCAAAAGTCCGCAGGCTCATCGTGGTGCAGTGAAAATTTGGAGCACTTGAACTCATCCAACAGAGGCTGGCAACAGCATTGCCCGCTTGGATCGCGCATGCCGGCTGGATGAACTCGATGTCTACGAAGCTAGACAAACGCTGCTAGGGCCGTCCAGAGCAGCTGGCTAGATTGTTGGTAGAACGAGAACTGACGCAGCCAGGGCCAGAGTTGGCCCAGCAGAGCTGACAGTTTGGCATTATTTCCGAAAATCGCTGGAGTTGAATGGCAATTTGAGTGCTGAACTTATCAGGGCACGATCCTTATCGCCAGATATGTATAGCTGGAAAGTACTTCCAATGTTTATGTCTATCAGATAAGTCACGGTACAAATAACCAATAAGCATTTAACCGCTGTTATTAACGTTGTCCAGAACCGAACTAACTTGGCCAACAACGCGGCACTAGCAGCAGCTGCAGCTACCAAAGCGAAGCAGGCCTGAAAAATTTCCCTGAAATTTTCTGTTAGTTTTTCTATTCTGTTAGTCATGATAATAAAAAGAATATAATCACATTTTGATGGCCATGCGTTGAAAATAAAAGTTAAGAAAAGGAGATAAATGCTGGGGAAAAAAAAAAACAGATTCAGATTTACGAATTGCTAAAAAATATCATCCGAGTAAAAAGTTATACAGAAATTTGAAATATAAATTATTATTCAAAAATGCATATTCTAGTTTGTATAAATAAATAATGTCTTGAAAACTAAATACTATTGATCTGCTTAAAATTATTATTATTTTATTAAAATATCATATTAATAATAATTAAATAATGATATAAAATAATAAAAAATATATGACGATTGAAAGATAGATTTTATAAAATCATTATTTCGGGAAAAACGAAATATTATTTATCTGCTTTAGATTAAGACAATATTATGATAATAATAAAATAATATAAAACAATGCATAACAATATAAAACAAATATATCACTGATTGCCTATTAAAATAATAATAAAAATAATAAAACAATAAATTATAATAATTAAAATGTAATTGATTGTCTAATAAAATAAGAATAATAATAATAAAACAATAAATAATAATAATTGAAATGCAATTGATTGCATATTAAAATATGAATAAATAAGTAACATTCAAAATATCAGTGATAACCTATTAAAATAATAATAATAAAATTTAATAAATACAATTTTTTTATATGTGATATAAACTCAAAATAAAAACCACAATAAAAGTCATTTCATAAGCATTAAACTTTCTTTGGCAAAGATCGATACATTTTCCCAAATATCCAGGAAAATTAAAATAATTTAAATCAAATTAGCTTAGCACAGGGCCATAAAAATAGAACACTTAATATTTAAATAGACCAAAATCTTTTTAAAATTGAACGTTGTTCTGATGGCCAGCATAATTTGTAGCAAACTACTCGGACAAGCCTCCAACAATTTGTCACGCAAATCTAAGCTTGAAATCAAAAATTTGCCTCGAACCTATTGCAGCTGACATGCAATATTATTATATTATCAATTGTTTTTCCAGCAAATATGTGAATAACATTCACACGTTGCAAGTGGAATTGCAATGCAAGATACTGTTTGTAGCATCAATTATGAGTGTTGCAAAGTGCTCGAGGTCCGGGTCTTAAAGATCGTGTAAATTGGTAAATTGAATTAAATTTATGCAATAAAGAAACAATAAAAATCAGTGACTGTATATTTACAAGAAATGTCGACACTTTCGATTTTCAAAGTGTAATTTATCAATTTTCAGAAACTTAGCTCAAGTCAATGGCAAGGTCAACATCAGGGGGACGTGAAACAAAAACCAAATGCGAATTCCCGGCACGTGTGTGTGCGTCTTCAAATTGTATGATATCTGGTAAAAATATGTACATACTTGATATATTTGCACAATTTGAGTGGAATTGAAACAGAAACCAATTTGTAATCGATGCTATGTTTATTAAGCTGACCGTCAAGGGATCGAGTTACGTTGGCAAATTGAAATATCACCCCAACCATAAATGGGTGGGGAAATACTTATTTTACTGCAGAAAAAAATCCCATAAAAAAATTTAAATAAATTATGTCTCAAACTAAAATACTACTTGTTTTTCATACATTATTTGTATAACTAGTTCCGTTATCTGAGGCTTGTCTAAGTGCAACATTTACTGGGACTTTGTACTATATAAATGACGCTCACATTAGATTACTTATTTATAAAAATACAAAAAAAAAATCTTTCTTTTTGATATATGTACTTTCCCTCTTATCGCCCCGTCGATAAGGCAAATGTAGGTCAAGCCTATGAAATTCTGGGCTAAAAAGTTTTCAATGCTTTGATCGCCGTGAAATTGCGACTCCCACACAAAGTATTTGGAATACACACAGTTGGGAGAGCTCACAGCTTTAATTGATCGACCTCCATGGCTCCAAGTTCAGTTAAGTCAGCGGCCTCCGACATACGATGACAAATATTGCTGCTGTCAATATCATTGATATCATATCATTCGGAATGCTTCCCACAGCATCATGTTTTGGACGGAGCATTTAACAGAATGACGACTCTGCTATTTGACACTCGATGTGAGTATTCGAATATTTCACATTTATGACATGCGTTTAATTAAATTACTTAGTTTAATATATTGTTATACCCTGTCGACTTTTTTTTAAAATGGCTATGCAGATGGTATTTGTATTATACTATTATAAAATATTATATTAAATTAGGCAAAACTTTTAAATTGATTCACTGCTGCTATATTAAAATATATTATTCAAATATTTAATTTTAGATTTTCTTATTTGATTTAAAAAAAATGTAATGTATAATAATATTAAAAGAAATGTGAGAAAGCTATTTATAATGTTAATTTTAATTGTTGTTTTTAATAATTAAAAATGACTACAAGTAATACTAACTAACTTTAATATAA